TCCAATTAGCCCTGGTCCACTAGTAGAACACATTAGAAAGAGGTTTTCATTCCTTCTACTCAGCTTTTCAACTTGACATTCGCAGGAAAAACTGATAAAACTTGTGAGGAATCATTGAAAATGTGTGAAGTTATCTATGAAACTAAACATAATGATGTAAGATGAAAGAACAAATGTATCTTTCTGTCAGTAGATTTGGTGTTAAAACTCTGCTCCAGAACTTCAATACTTATAACCTCTCATGACACTTTTCTGTAAAATTTATAGTAGGTGAGAAGTCAATTATTACCAACATAAGCAGCACAGTGAGATTTATTATACCTCCAATTCAATTCGTTTTTAGAAATATTGATTGAGCACCACCTTGCGACAGGCCCTGAGGGAAGAGATGTAGAGAATGCAAAGGTGGATCAGAGGTGTCCCTGCTTCCCTGCAGTTCCCACAGCATGGGGCAAAAGGGGCCCTGGGTTACAGGGTTCAGAATAAGGAGAGAACACTTCTACCTGGGGGATAGGGCATAATCAGAGATGGTTTCACTGTCGAATTAACATTTTAGTTACATCTAAGAAAGGACATGGGCTGTTGAGTCAGAGAAATGGAGAAGAAAGCCATCTAAGGGCAGAGTGTAACAAAAGAAAACAGGTGGGCTGAGAAGTGCAGAGATTTGGAAATGAGCATGGAATCCAGCTTGACTTGAACACAGGCTCTGAGCAAGGCAAAAGTGAGATGTAAAACCAGGGGATAAACAGACAGTTTAAGATTTGGTACGTCCTTTTCTTGCCAGTGGAAATCCACTGAAGATCTTTAAATAAAGAAGTGATGATGGAAGCTGTACTTGGAACAGACCAATATGGCAGTGTGTGCAGACTGGGATCGCAGCCACTCCCCAGGCCTTTGGCATTGTGTCTGACACTGTTATTTGTCACCATGACTGGGGGAACCCTACTGGACTTCTAGGGTGAAATCCCGGGAAACTGAAGAACTATCCCAGCCAACATACCAGGAGTACTTTGTTGGGGAACACTGGTAGGGGAAGGAAAGAAGCTGGAAAGGCAAATCAGGAGACATCTGTTAATCCAAGCATCAGCTAATGAGCTGAGCCAGGAGATGAAGGTGGGCTTAGAAAAGAAGAGTCAAATACAAGAGACCTTAAAAAGGAGAAGGTAGAAGGCCCCTGGGTGGGTGGCTCAGTCAGTTGGGTGTCTGTTTTTGGCTCGAGTCATGATCCTGGAGTCCCAGAATTGAGTCCCGAGTCAGGCTCCCTGCTTAGTGGGGAGTCTGCTTCTCCCTCTGCCCTTCACCCTGCTTGCGCTCACTCTCTCTCTCTCTCAAATAAATAAATAAAATCTTTAAAAAAAGAAGGCGGTAGAATCAACAGGTCCCATTGGAGATAGGAAACGTGATGGAAGAAGAACACCAAGGCTTTGAGCCACAGTGATCAGAGCAAAGAGAATATGGACATTTACAGAAACTCAAAAATCAAAACCTGAATCAGGCTCAAAGCTTGCATAGGCATAACAGATCTGCCTCCCCTCACATGAGAGAACTAAACACCCTCCACCCCATCTCCTGCAGTTCTTGCCTCTAGTTCTTTATACATCCCATGGCACTTAACCGATGGGCCAAGCCCTCTCTACCGTGTCACTTTTTGTGTTCAGTGTATGGACCAGACATACAACAGGTGCCCCTTCAACTTTACTGTTCCCTGCTCTATAAAGGGAATATTAGACTTAATAGCCAACATTCTCAAAGTTCCAGTGCCCCTCTCCCACACTGTTAAATCTTTCTGGACCAGTCATGTAGCACCTTCATTGTTTTAGGAATATGATCTAGCTATAAACTCACTGCTTTGGCAGTCGATTAAAAAATTATTTTAATTAGAAGTTCACAGGCTTCAAGCAAGAGAGAAGAAAAGAATAACTGAGCAGTGAGTGAGCAAGGAGCATAATGAGGAGCAGCAGCTAGTTTCTTTGGCTGCAGAGAAACTTCTGGAAACCACCTGATAGAGGTCAGTTGACAAACACCTGTGAGAAGTGGAAAAATTCCCCTCTCATGTCAAGACACCTGGAATATTTCACTTCCTTGAAACGAAAATTGTCATTCAACATGCTCATGAAATCATTTAAAAGAAGTAACAACAATATTTGGAAATGTTTCTGTGTTCTCACTTGGAGTTCTTTTTGTTACCCAGCAGATTTTTTTTTTAAAGATTTTATTTATTTATTCATGAGAGACAGAGAGAGAGAGAGAGAGAGAGAGGCAGGGAGCCCGACTCGGGACTGATCCTAAGACCCTGGGATCACGACCTAAGCCGAAGGCAGACACTTAACCGACTGAGCCACCCAGGCGCCCTCCCAGCAGCTTTTAAAAATAAGAACTTAGGGGCGCCTGGGTGGCTCAGTTGGTTGGGCGACTGCCTTCGGCTCGGGTCATGATCCTGGAGTCCTGGGATCGAGTCCCGCACTGGGCTCTCTGCTCAGCGGGGAGTCTGCTTCTCCCTCTGACCCTCCTTTCTCTCATGCTTTCTGTCTCTCATTCTCTCTCTCTCAAATA